ATATATATATATATATATATATATATGTATATATTTCTTTTTTATGCACATTACGCTTGCTTCATTTAAGCGTGAGCACGAGACTTTGCTCAACGAGCGAGCAACGAAGCACGGAAAATCGATGACTTTTCAATGGCGTCCTTGCACGTCCTTTCTCCCTCCTTTCCTCTCTCTCTCTCTCTCTGGCGCCAACACGGTCTAAAAAATTCATGCGGTCGGCTACGACCTCCTGGTGGATCGTCTCTATCTTTCTCTCTCTCTCGAAAGAGAGAGAGAGATCCGCAAGACGTTATTCGCAACCAAGCGTTGAGCAGTGGTTGACCGATATCTGTCGTGTCTTTATATTGCGATGTCTATTTTCATTTTCTCTCCCGTGTCTTATCTCGACACTAGTCGGATGCAAATCCGCTGCAGATTGCTCGTGAAATTTGCTCACTGTCATGCTGATAAGGACAGACGGACAAACTGCCGGACGCAGCCGATATACATGTTGTCTCAAAGTTACCGCGAACGGCTATTCAATTACGCAAAATGTCAATAGCGTCTGAGACGATAATGAAAGCGAAAATAGAATCGCAAATAAATAGTGGCGAGTAAAAAACCTTGTAACGATCGAAAACTCTTAGTCGCGCGCGAGGGACGTTTATTTTTGTTACGCGTCGTCCTAGATAAGGGGTGCTTACCGTTTTGCATGGCGACGCTCTTGTCTTCCACTCTACTAACGTAGCAGCAGAGCTCGTCCTGCCTGTCAGAGTTTTCTATGAGCTCCGCCTCGACGGAGAAGCCCCACATCTGCTCTAAAGTGTGTCTTTGCAATTCCACTTGATATAAAATCTTGGCACAGACTTCCACGATTTCGTGCGTATGCAACTGCGCGCAAAGCGAAACACACCGGAGTTAGGTTAAATGTTAATTCTCGTTAGTCACTAACGAAGGAAGGTCTGAGATCACTGATCACAGATACAGACCACAGATCTATATTTATATCTATATAATAGATCTATATCTATTTATTCGATTGCCAACGAATATCTCTGGATTTATAAGATGAAAAAATGAAAAAAATGTTTTATATTAAAGTTTCTTAATATTTGATATACTTTATAATCATGAATAGATTTTTAAAAAATTTTATATTTTTCAATATATACTCATCTGTCACTGGAACGAATATTAATATTTGTCTAAAGAGAATTAAAGATTATTTTATGCCAAATTCAACTATGTAAATGCTATGTATAATGCAACTATTTTTTAAGATTGCATCTTTAGGATACGAATCGTGAACGCTGCGCTCTAAGCAGTAGATTTAGACGCGCCGCGGTCAGACAGATCGCGTCTGGCGTAACATGTCTGCAACTACTTATAGGGCGGCGTTGACTCATATTCCAAAAAAGTGCGATCTCAAAAAATAAATCTACTACATATATTCAAATTTAACTTCAATATACTTAAACTTAATATACTTGAAATTTTCACAAGAAATATACTTGAATATACTTGAAATATACTTAATATACTTGAAATTTTCACACTTTCAGACCTTCTCTTGTAAGCCTAGAGACTCATTGTCTCGAATGATTTTATCGACTCTCTCATAATTGTGTTCATTGAATTTCGACGTGATGACGATCGTTAACTTTGTAAATATGCTTAAAGCGGTAATAACATTATGTCACATCCACGCAATCCCTCGGACGTCTCTTAGACCCGATATAAACGGTGTTGTTACTTACATATGTTTCTATCAAATCAGTCCTATGTGGCACAAAGTAATTGTGGTCCTCCATGTCTCGGCGCTTCTTCACGCGCACAAAATGCTCCATCGGGTTGAGGTTCTTCCTGGTGCACGCGCTCGCCAAGAACTCCTCCACGGTCATGGCGTCGCGCAGGAACACCGACACGAGCTGGAACAGCGAGCGGGAAAACACCGGGTCGTTTGATACGTACTTATCAGATGCTCTAAAGATCACGTGACGCTACGGTATCTCGGTCAACTCACCCGATGTGCCGATCGTACCTGATTTTCCGGCACGGACACCTTCACGCTCTTCTCCTCGTCCCTGGACGAGATCTGCAGCGAGCGTCTGCTCGAGCCGCTGTTCGATCTTGACAGAAGCGGCGGCCTCCTCTTGGTCGCCCCGCGGCCCGCCAGCAGATTGTTCAATAAAGATGGACTACGCGCGCAGATGAACGCGTGGAAGGACGACACGGTGAACACGCCGAGCTTGTTCAGCGTCTGCTTCGTGGCGCGCGACACGTGCGTCAGTAGACTCTGAAGGACAAGAAGCGAGAGACGCGGCGCGTTTAACGTCGTCCTCGTCGGCGGTGGCCTTCAATGATCACGGAGAGAAATGGAGCGGACGTTCTCCGACAGCGGCGCTGAAATATCGTCCCTCTCGCGATGAGATGTCGCGCATTAATTCTCAGTGGCTATCTCAGCTGAGATCGGGCCGAAATCTTCGACTGCTCGCAATCGTGAGAACGTCGATTTATTGGACTCTCTTGTTCTCTCACCCTCTCGTGCGCGTCCTCCACCCACCCATCTACTCGACGATCGATATCACCCCGTTGTAGGATGCAAGTGGCGCAAATCAGATGCTCGCTACAAATGTAGATGGATCCCTAACGAATCCCTGATTGCGTAGCACGGCCCACGCGAGGGAGACGATTTTTCAGATAATCCGCAGCGACCCGCAGGGACGCGGAATGGACAATGCGGCGAGATTGCGTCGCGTAACGTTGTTTGCCGGGAAAGTTCTGGACCGGAACCTCCTCGGCCACGTTCAGTTGGTTTCAATACGGTTCAGTGTTCGCTTTTTATCGACGCAGTTTGGAACGCAACCGATGGCCCAGGCGGCTGATTAAGTGTAGCAATACTTCTGCATTTCGATGAGTTTTGTAACATATTCCGTATCCAATAGGAAAACGTGTCTCCTGAGAATTACTGAAAAACCAATTCTCCTATACGGAGTGTGTCATGAGAGTCATTGAGAGAAAGTGTTGCAACTTTTAATCAGACGACTGTCCAATGAGAGAACTTCTGGCAGTTAATTAAAGACAAGTTCTCTCATTAGACCATCAACTATGTCCCAAACCACATCGGGGAGAGAAGTGTCCAAGCCGTATTCGAACCAACAGACATATTCTGCAATTTTTTAATTAGATAATTAAATTGTAATATTTATTATATTTTTATTATTGTAACGCATACGTCGTGTCGCGCAGATATAACGCATAATAGCTGCGGGATGACAGTTAATGTTAACGACACTGACGTTAAAAGTTGCAGAATAAGCACATAAATGCACAGTGTATCATCCGTGTGTTGTTGAGTCGCATATCGGGAGAAATACTTGAAATAATTTCCCGCGGCCAAAACGACTTTGCATCCGCGCAATTATCACGATTTTGCATTCATTTCGGGTCGTCTTGTATCGCGCTGGCTTCTCGCTCAAACGGAAGCACTCACCTTCGGATTGGGCAGCTCGCCGCTCTGCAAACTGGCCATGTAACACCGCAGGCGGAATTGCTCGCAGTGTAACCGTTCTAAATTTTCTTCCCACTGCACGATTTGATTGTTAATTTGTTGCTTGGTGTCGACGTCGGAAACGACCGATTGCTGAAGGTCCGCCATGTGCTTCATTTTGTGGTCCTGCGGGCATTCGGGGTGTACCGACATCGATTACTGGCTCGTTTTGTCTTTGTCACGGACACGCAGATCCGTTCGTGACGAAGAAACATTCGTGATTCAATAAAAATGGCGAGACAGTCGGCGATAAGGTATTCTCTAAATTTTTGCCAGTGAAATTTTTTCACTCGTAAAGTGGAGTGACCACTGAGTCACTCGAATTCGAGTAACTATTTACTCATACGAACTCAGAATACGAATTCTCTGGATCGTCGAGTGAATATTTTCACTCGAAAATATCGACATACCGATTCGATCGCCTTCTCCAGACGGATGATCTCCTCCTGCAGCAGGTGCAACGTGCCGGTCTTGCCGCGATGACGCGCGAACGCGGCAGCGCATGCTGAATGAATGCTGTTCACCCAGTTCTCCAGCTCCACTTGACACGGCGCCTGTAATCAGAAGAACACAAAACGATCGCCACGTTTCTTCTTCTCTTAAAAGAATCCGGAGATACAAGGCTTTAATTGCGCTCTTCATCACGAGGCTCAAAAACGAAATGAAGCTATGCTCCTCCATGTTTTCGAGTGATTTTTTAAGTTTATAAGCTCAAAATTTTTAATTAGGACCTATACATGGAATTTTCTATCTTGAAAAGAGGCGTTGTCTTATTATTGTTTTTTTCCCATTATCTCGATCTTGATATATTGTTTACTTCGACGTTACAACGAATTCCCGTATAGAGTATTTAAATTGATAAATAAATAACGACTCTAGGCGTTATTTAAGGCGTATCTGTCAGACAGAGGTCACGTGATCTCGAGGAAGATAATACCTGCATGTATGGGACTGCCGACTATAAGAGTCCTTACGTAGGTGAACAAGTTGGGAAACGTCGCGCGTGATCCTCGGGCTTCGGAATCGTTGAAAATACATATTAGATTCATGTTCTATTATTTCGTATGTATATAATTAATTATAGTGCTAATATCCTCTTGAGAAATACTGGCTAATTATCTTCTAATTAGCGCCTTTAATTTTTATCGGTTTAAAAAGAAAATATACCGTCTTGAGGCGTTGACTTGAGTTTAATAAGCTGATGTGTTTAACTAACCAGAAACTTGCTCTTTTTGTTTTACATTTGGTGGATATTGTGGCTTTGTGTGTACAGTGAATATGTGTGTGCTTGTGCGTATGCGCGGATACTGTATCGGAGGATCCGATTCGGGTCGAGCAGGGTCGGCTCGAAGGTAAGGTTATATATTTCCGAATAGCCTTGAATTTAACACTTTGCAATTGAAAACTAGGACATGGTTGTCCAAGAAAAAATCGTTGAGTCAATACGATCGCAAAAGGTTAACACGCGCTCATGTCCACGCGTATTTGTCTCGTTGGCCAATTCTGATCTAATCAGCGATGTTACATTTTCTGTTTCAGATCCGCAGCGGAATGTGGTCAGCCCTGAGTTTTCGGTATTTTCGCGAGTCGAAAGTAAAGATTCGTGGTGGGTTTATTGGTGGTTGGTTATCGTGAAAAAAGGAAAAATGCGGCCTGGACGGCCGAACGTTGTGAGACATTGCGCAATGATGAGTATATCATGTGTACGCTCGAAAAGCGTCAAATTTACGCAGTGCATGCGATCCGTAGAGAAATCCCACTGATGATAGAGGTCACTGTGCGGAGAGGTGACAAAGCGAGATCACTTGAAAAGAACTTAGCAGGGATCATGGCGCGTTGTAACGCGCGATTCTAGTGTCTAGTCATTAAAAGTTTGCCGTCGCGTGACCGAGATATCGCGGTAGTCCGGGGATAAGACGGGGCTTTAATTAAATACAACTAGTCGAGTCGGCGATCCCGCGGCGCGGTTAATGCACTGCCGCGGAGCGGGAATGCGATCAGACCGAGCCGAAATAATTGCCGCCCCCTCGCTTTCCGATAATTCGCCGTGTACTTTACGGCGGTCTAACTTGGAGTTTAATTGGCGTATTATTTGCGGTGATATTCAACTGCTAATTGAGGAGCTGCCGCGGGACTGATGATATACGAGAGCTACGAGAATACTTGTCAACTGTGTTCCGCCTCTCACCTTTCACCTTTTGCGCGCATTCTCGATTAGTCCCGATGAATACGGTACTCGTAGGAGTCATGAATCGCGCGCGGTCTCACCTGGAATAGATACGCGTCCCCGAACGCGGTGCTGAGGCAAAATATGTAGTCCCTCTTGGGGTGCTCGGGGATGGGCTGCATGATCGCGCCGTCGACGATGATCAAGTGTTTCGGTGCCGCTTCCATGGCACGACTCTCCTGGGAGTCGCAAGGGTAGAAGAGGAGCGTAGTGCCCTTCAGACAGACCCAGTAACCCTTCCAGCCTCTCTTCCTGGCAAGCTCGATCTGATGCTTCTTGCGCAGCAACCACTTCTTCACGCTGAGGAATCTGAGAAGTCCGAGGCATCGCCGTTATCCCGGTCCGGTATGCTCTCAGGTTAGTGCAAAAGTTTTGTTTTGTCACAAATCAAGTTGAAATTCTATTTCGAAAGATTAGTAATTTTTACGAATAAAATGAACAACGCCAACTTGCATGGAGAACAAAATCTGGTGGCATTAACGTGAAGTCTGGTTTTAATGAATGAACCATTTGTTTGAAGGATATAGAATTTCTGTGGATCTTACGATCCGGATTTAGTTCTAAGAATAAAAAATTCCGTTTCCTTCAACCAAAACGGTTCGTTTCAACCTTCATGTTGATGAATCCAAACCTTTCTCTCTGTGAGAATGATATTTTTAAACATCCAACGAGAACTTTCTATTTTTCTTTTGATACTTGAATTTTCTGTGAGAATTTAATGACAATCCTTTTGCAACAACCCAATAAATTATCGAAGAAAAAAGGAGACAAAATGCGAACAATTCTCTCTGCATTTATCATTTCCGCCGTTTTATTCCGCTTTTGCATTGTTCATCCCGGATTTGCGGATAATTCGATTTTCCGATGTCAAAATGCTAATAAATAACATTCATTTGATGCACAAATTTTTCCCGCTAATTAATTTCGCTGCAGATGTGTGCAGTTGATGAGATTGCAATCGGGAATATCGCGAAACACGGAGAGACGCGACAGGCTGCCTCTCGCTTGCGGGCTTTGTATTTATCGGAACATGATCGCAGAGAGATATTTATACAGGCCCTCAAGGCTCATTATTTTTAAAGAACGAAGTACAAGCGGCGATAGCGTACCCTGCCTTTCGAACTGCACCGGTGCAGTTGAAGGAAGCTGCGGCCGTGCCGGTCTGCTTTCCACGATAGGGCGAATTTATGACACTCTCGCCGTCGTCGTCGTCGCTGACGGCAGTGGTGAGTGACATCCTATCATCATCCGACATCTGCAAAATTGTCAGTCTTAATTTTTTAATTGCGCTGAACGCGCGTCGCGCACTGCGAGAATCGAGACGAGTAAATAGCATCGAATAAAGAAAGAGAGAGAGAGAGAGAGAGAAAGTGAAAGATGCGATTATGAAGAGACAACGAGGAGAGTGCGTAGAGAGAGAAAGAGAAAATGGTGCGATCGTATCGTGAAATAGAATGATACGACGACGACGCTACTCGTGATATCAGATCTAGTGAATTACTGACAATGACAAGATGCTTTATGTACATAATCGATCGAGGGAGAGAAAGAGAGTGCCTCATCTATCTAAAAAAAGTGCACATTTAGGAACTGCAATACGGGTTGCTTGGTTAATATTCACAATACCCAATACAACATTTGTTATTATCTATTTTCGTGACTCATCAAGATATTATCACTTAACACGATTTCATCGCATCTATGTGAAGTCTTTTCGATCCATCGATCCATCGAGAATACACGGATATATATACTAATGAAGGAGAATTTTATCCATTAGTTTCATCATACAAACTATACGATTACTAGAGAATTTGCTACAAGAAAAAAAGAATACCAAGTCAAGGGCACGTTCGCATCACAATTGGCGGATAAAAATGCAAAGGAATCGTAGTTGCGGCCGAGCGCATGCCAGTTAAAGACGGCGGCTAATGTCGATGCAACTTTAGCTCAGAAGCCCGTATGTACGATCGCGCGGGGTGAGCGCGCCAAATTCGAGAACTAAATGTTAAACGCGAACGCACATGCCAAGATATCCGGGTCACAGTGAGATTCTTTGTCATATAGCAGTAAAAACGAAAAAAGAAAGAAAAAACGAATAATCGCGTGGCAAATGCAAAGTGCTTCGTCTAGAAAAGCAGTTCCACTGCTTTCGCTATCGGGTCCCCTCGTTATTTGACTCGTCCTTATTTCTAGTTTCCGCGCGATCTCGATCCGTGCATGTCACAGACCGCGTTTGAAATTTCGCACGGTACAATTCCTGACGCTTCTCGTAAAAATAGATACTCGTTTCCCCCCGATATCACGTGTTTTCTACGGGAACGTGAGTCTCGGAGCTGTCGGAACAGTCTGCGCGCACACGGTGATGCCTGTCGATAGCGGATGGAAATGAGATGCGAACTCGAATGGCAAGAATGATTCGCGAGCGATCTTCAGCAGCAGCAATAGTAGTAGTAGTAGTAGTGGTAGTAATGGTGGTGGTAGTAGTAGTAGTAGATGATAGCAGTAGTAATAAAACAATAGTAGTAGTAACGATAATAGTAGTCCGTATCCGGGAGGTCGACGAACGAAAGTCCAACGAAAACGGGCTGGGACTCTCGTTTATTTTCTCTACAGCCTCGGCCTCTGCCCGAAGCGCATGCCAAACACGAGCGAGTTTTCTGCGTGTTGCGGTCGGTGTCGTGGTGGCGCGGACGTGATGGCGGGCGTCGAGCGTGGCGGGAAAGAGAGCAAATTCGCGAAAAGGGGGAAGAAAAGGAAAAAATAAATAAAGAAAAGAATAAAAGGAGAGATACTCAAGGGGCATACAGTACAATATATCAAGAGAGAAACATCTCCATCTCAAGTAGAAGAGGAGATTCGCGAGTGAGTGTCTCTACCTTTTTCGTAATATTCGTCATGCCGCGGAGCCTCTCGCGTATTCCCCTGAGGCTCTCACCGGCCCAGAAACTTACGACTCTTCTGAGAAAGTCGGCGTTGCACGCGTCCGCCGTCATGTGCGGATGGTAATGGCAGTAGCAGCCCTCCTTGAGCAGCTTCATGTTGTTCTCCGCGCTACCGTTGATCTTCAACATAATCTCGCGACGTGCCAAGCTCAGGCCGTCGATGTAGCGTTGCGCCCAAGCGTTGAGTGCGCCGTTCACCAGCCGCAATAGTTTGTGGTAGTAGCCCTCGCCCAGATTGTAGTTCACCTTCTCCTGCACGTTCCGACAGTTGAACCAGTAGACCTTGCGCGACTCGTTAATGCATATCACGCTGATCGTGTGCCGCCGGCACAGGCAAAAGTACTTCCAGCAGCGCCGTCGATGCTGTGTTCGCAAATCCGTATAACTATTCGCGTAGCTCGGATCCAACAGGTCCAGAGTGCTATTCGTACACTTGATCAACCATCTCGGCTCTACCATTATTTGTCGGTGGCGGTGACTGAGCGAGCAACGAGGACGCGGAGCGCGCAGCCGGGGGTGCTGCGCTGCCTCCTTAGGGGTAGCCTGAGTGAGGGACTAGGTCCTTGGCTACCCGGTCACCGGGCAGGCCGACGGCCGCGGCGTTGGCTCATTTCTCCCCCGACGTTGTCATTCTTATTGTCTCGCGGACGGCAGAAGGGTACCACGTGGCTCGGTGAGAGATATTCACAAACGGTCGATTGTCGATGTCGCGCAATGCGTAATAAGCTCGGTGGTGGTATGCGCCTTAACGTTTCTCGTCTCGAGGCGATCACTGGGTCAAGTCGGTGGACTCAGGCTTATTCCTGTGGAAGTCTTCCCGTCACGGCTTTACGCGCGCACCGACTTTCCGCTTGAGACTTATCACTGTCGGTTCGGGGTCAGTTCGTTCTGAAGCGTGCAGGGTCGATCGTGAGGGCACAGGTTAAATAATCACTTCACACACGTCGGTGTCGCCGATTTCCGCGAGTCGTGAGGACGTGGCGCGAGCGGGGCGCGACTGTAACTGCTCATAAGGAATCTTCGCAAGGGTTCACCGGGTTTTCGCGTGCGTGAGCGAGCGAACGCGCGCGCACGCACGCACGCATGCAACACCTTCCGCGACTTGTCAGCGAGGTTCCTCTGTTTAAGGCAAACGTCCTTTGCACTATCAAGATCAATCGCACCCTCCCGTATTCGGGATAGATGCGCCAAATTCCTTTCTCCTCGGTAACGTTGATCCTACGGGCTAATCTAACTATCTCGAGAATTCCAAGCGGGAGACTCGGGAAGGCGCGAAGAAGAAGCGCGACGATGGCGAGGTGCTCCGCGGATGTACACGTTCGCGCACGGAGGGATTATCCAGCCGTGTCCAGCGCCGGATCGTCTTGGACGATCCTGGACGCGGTCGACGTCGCTTCAATTTCCGCTTTTTCACGAGCGGGGATGAGGAGTAGATAACATATATATAGAATATTCTCTCTTCTCTTTTTTTGTCTCCCTTTCTCGTAATATGCGCGATAGAAACGAACTCTCCGTAGAAAAATACTCTCTTGCTTTCTTTTTGTGTACGGCTTAAGTATACATATTAGATATCCTCTCTGAACGTTGATCCTCCCTTATTTGCCGCTTTTCGTCAGCTGATTTCACTACTTGCCTATGCATAGCTACAGCCGCCTCCTCCTCGAAGCCATCGATTTTCTCCTCTCCCGCGGAAAAATGCGCCCGAAACTTCACCGCCACTCACCCTCTCGCTCGTTCCTTATATATATTCATATATATGTATATATATTTATATATATATATCTCTCTAATCTCTCTCTCTCTCTCTTTCTCTCTCTATATATATATTTTCTCTTTCTCTCTGTTTCTTTAATATATATATATATATATATATATATATTATTTCAGTCTTTATCCGATGTCTGTTTTTTCTCTTCAAATATATTCTTCTTCACTCTATCTTTGATTTCTGCCTCGTTATCGAATATATTCTCTACGCGATATAATCATTAAAGCGTCACTCTCCTCGCCCCGTCCTTATCCGCGTGCTGGAGTCAGTCGCCGTTGGCCGATCGCGCGCGACCTGTTCTCGAGTCACCGGAAATCGTTCCACGGCGGAAATCAGCCCCGAGCGGATCGCAGGCGCGAGGGGAGGAGAGGATCCAGGTACCCAGTGGCGATGCCGCCATCGTCCAGTCGCGCTGGCACGCCGACGTTTCACGCAGCTGTCGCACACGTGCGACCGAATTCGGAATGCGCGAATCCCCCGAGGAGAGCAGAGCGACTCACTGCGTTGCCGCGCAATTCAACTCCCGAGGTCGCATCCCGCCGTGCGCGGGCTCGCGTCGACGAAGCTATTATCACATCGCCCGCTCCGCGGAAATCTCAAGGACATCTCCCGTAGGAAACCCCCCTCGCACGACTCAGTGCACCTTCCCGCGGCTGCCTGCTGCTTCTCTGTTGCGTAGATGTTGCGCAACTTCCCTGTCGGGAACGTTTCAAGAAGTTCTTTCTTTTATTTGCTCTTCTACGGAAGAATTTCTTCGTGAAAACCACCCCCGCGAACCCACTACACCGGGTTTATCAGATAATCCTGATTACTGGCGAGTGCATCTTCGCACTTCCGGTTTACGCGTCGACGCGAGCCGTCTCTCTTTCCCTCTCTCTCTTTCTCTCTCTCTCTCTCTCTCTCTCTCTCGATCGATTGAGAGCTCGGCAATCATTCGCGCGGACGTATCATCTTCAACGTAGACCTCAACGTGGAACGTCGACGCATCGTTGTACAAGGTCCGAGGGTTGCGCAGCACAAGTTTTCGTGTTTACGTGAGTCTGTCCGCTTGTCCGGGGTGCGACGGTGATTGCGCACGGAGCGCGCGGAGTGGCCGGGCTCGCGTTCACGCGGAAACGCACGCGTCCTCGTCGCGTTCTCCAGCGGGCGCAGCACCACAGCCGCTGGCGCCGCTGCCGACGTGTCCTGCCGTGTCCGGGGCCGTATCGCGGTGGTCGCGCGCGATCCTCGCTCCAGCGACTTCCGGCGCCCGCGCATCGGCGCATCCGCGCCGCTCTCCGGAGCGCGCCCGGCGAGATACGAGGAGCCGCGGGGTGGTCGCTCGAGAGGGAGAAGCTGCGTCGCGGCGCGCTGCGTCGCGTCGCGTCGCGTCACGTCGCCGTCGTCACTCCACGACGGTCGGTTCTCCACGAGAGAGATCGTTTCCCTACGCTCGTTCGTTCGTTTGTTCGTTGTTCGCGATTGCTAATACACGGCCGTCGTCGATCGATGAGCCGCGTGCTGCGCGAGCTCGTCGTGCTTCCTGCCTGTCCTCATCGCCGC